TCTGATTCCCTATTGGGAACAGAACAGGGATGAAGATGAGGATCGAGATCAGAGATTTAAATCAGGAATATGAATAAGAATCAGAATCCCTAATATTCCTTATCCTGTTATCATCATCATCTTTATATAAATTTGACCGAATCCAAATTCAAGTCAAATTATATGGAATATATTGCTTTCAAATATGCTTTCTTTTTGGATTTCAAATGGTCTGAATTGACAAATTGACATGCTTTTTGATTATAATTTATAGGGGAAGAAGAATAGTCAAATATATCTGCATAAATTTCTTTTGCTTTTTTCAGTTATAAATATATGCAAAAATAACACAAAGTTAAATGCTTTATCATGCTGTTTTTATTACTTTTTTCTTTATATTTCTCTTTTTTTTATTTCTTTTCAAAAAGACATCCCATGCTTTGTTTTCTCTTCCTTTTTCCCTTCATACAATGTCTGAATCCATACAGTGATTATTATTATTATAATATTTATATAAAATAAATTAAAATGTTGTTATAAACATGTAATTGGTATTAATAAATACTGTAAAATTAATAATTATGATGTATAATTAATAAATGGGTAGAAGGAAAAGGACGAGTATGGTAATATAGTCTAACTAGAGGGACGAGTTTTGTAATTTACTCTAATATTTTTTTTAAAAAGAAAAAGGAAAAAGGAAAAAAAATATCCGACCTGCCGGATTCGAACCAGCGACCTAAGGATAGCCATGAACACACTACAGTCCTCCGCTCTACCAACTGAGCTAAGGTCGGATTGATGACATTTTGAACCATTTATTTTATATAAACAAAGTATTAAACACATTATTTCAATGTGAGGCTAATCAATGGTGGCAATGGTTAATGTGGTTCGTTGCTGAAGAAAACCAACAGGTTACCTGGGAGGTTTTCAAGAGGAGCTATGGAGACGGTTTGGACCGACCGAGCGTGAAAACTTTGATGAAACATTATCAAGGGTGGAATAGTTAGAATCTATACGTGATCACCAACGTGAATTTGAAAAGGTTGGCAACCAGATGCAAGGATGGACCCAAAAGGCACTTGTAGGGACTTTCATGGGAGGTCTTCGATCGGAAATTGTGGATGGAACCAGGATGTTTAACCGTACATTGGGCGAGTCGGGTGGGAAAATAAAAAACCCGATCGAATTTCGGATTGTTTCGGGTTCATGTTGGTCGGGTTTCGGGTCGAGGTCGGTCGGGTCCGTGTTTAGTTATAATGCAAATAAAAAATATCCGATCGATTTTGAGGATGAATTCAATTGATTTAGAGAATTGATAAATGGATAATATGCTTAAAAATTAGAAAAGAACACGACCGACTATGATTTTTAGAAATTTCAAAAGATAATTAGATAAATAAATATATTTATATATTATTTAAAATATATATCTATATGTATTTTGGAGTTTCGGATGGATCGGGTGGCCAAAAATCAATCTCAATCTGAACCTAAATTTTCCCTAAAAAGTTGGTTTTTCGGATTTCAGGGCATTCGGGTTTTGCATAAATATCTTTTTTTTGGTTCAGATTCGGGTTTTGCATACCCCTACTGTTTAAGCCCAGATTGCGGAAAGAGGCGATCAACTTGGCTCGTATGCAAAATGAACGTTTGACTCGTTCAAGCAACTTAGCACTTTCATTCAACAATTTAGCGGCAGATCCGACATCACCAATCTCATTGAACACCCGTTCGACTACGAGGCGGTTGTCATAGGAGGAGATGCAAAAACGGCAAGGCCAAGGCCTGTATTTCAACTGTGAAGAGTGATTTATCCTGAATCCTTTTAATTCTCCTCTTAGAGCATCTTCAACAACCATTCTATTTTAAAAAAATTGAAGATTTAGAAAAAGTTTGATTAACAGCTATGTTAAACTCTTCTTTAAAATAAAAGGAAAAAAAATTAGAACGAATAAAAAAATTAGATATAAGAAAAAGAATATAAGATCGTTCTTAGGTTCTGTTTGGTTTGAAAGAATAAAATGAATTTGGGGTGATTTGAATTTCAAATCATGTCCAATCCCATTTTTGAAATCCTTAGGAAGTGCTCGAGATTTCATAGGATTGTATGAAATAAGGTTTTAAAAAATATTAAAAACATTTATTTTGTAATAATCGATTAATAAAAATGTAATTTAACTATTTTTATAATTATTTATAATTTTTTCGTAGATTATTAATAAATAACAAAATCTAATTCAATTTGAAATCTTACAAACCAAAGACACCAATGATTTTAAATTCATTCCAATCCAAACTTTTTCAAATTTAAATCCAAATCCCTTAAAAATAATCCTACAAAGCAAACGGAAACGTGATTATTGCCTTGCGGACGTTTTATTTGAAAAAAGGATCATGGAAAGGTTGAGTTTGAAAAAACAAAAAATTTGAAAATTTTAAAGATAAAAAAATGAAAAAGAAATAGTATATGATGTATAAAAAAAGGGAAAGCAAGGTGGATCAGTTTCAAAAAGTTCGGGTAATCGAGCGTCAAATATAGACCCATGGACCATGGTTATGTGGGTCAAGTATTATTTGGTTGACACGTGGAAACCTTACGTCAAAGATGGTCATCAAGTCACGCGTCCAGCAAGTGGCTGTGTCCCCACTTTTACTTTTTCATCCACTGCTACCAAGCCACGGTGTCCTTTTTTTCCCCAAAATGCCCTTTAAACCTACGCATCACTTTTCCTTTTCAGGACCTCCTTTTATTTTATTTTTTAAAAATCATCTTTTTATTTAAATCCTTTTTTTAATTAACAAACTCGATAACTTTTTTTATTTAAGAGAAGGGTTCAAATGAGAATCCGTATGATTTATGGGAATTTAAGAACAGCCTACCAATCAAGTAATGTGATAACAATTAAAATTAAGAGTGGTGTTTGATTGGTTTGAATTTGGTTCCAAAGGTTAAAAATACCTGGAGGTCCCAAATTCAAATTCAAGGAGGAATAAAAATCCTCTTGTGGCTACGAAGGTTCAAATGCGGTGACTCCAGACTATCTGCAAAGCAGGTGGTCACCATGTATTAGTCGACTCGCATAGCGGGTTGGATATCTAGGTTAATAAAAAAAATAAATTAAAATTAAGAGATCTTTTAAATTTAAAATAGTATTGAAACAATTCAAAAAGTTTTGAGAGGCAAAAGGGCAATCTTGGAATTTGAAGAAATAATATTTAAAAAAACACAATAAAAAAAGACTCTGATCATCTAGGAACTGATAAAATCATGGGCTGCGGTGGTTATAATAAAGGAAGAAAGTGTCATAAGTGTTAAGAAGATAGTCGGAAGAAATCATAATAGAAGCTTGAGGCAGAAGTTTGCAAAGAAAATTGATTCAAGGTTTGCTTATAACAAATTTAACACACTTAGAACATGAATCACTCACATTCGTTCGATTTAAAGATTGTTTGGTTAAATTAGAGTACGAGTATCATATGATTATCACAAGAAATCCGACTACAATCTATCGATTCAAATAGGGTTAAGGTATCTACTTGATTTGTATTTAGGTGTGATAATCATGTGATATGTTAACCCAAAGACGAATCGAGTAGCAAATGTTTTTCACAAAATACGATTCGTATTTGGGTCCGACTACAATCGGTTCAGTTAGGTTCCAAAATCATACGATTGCCACAGCCCAGTCGTGTATAGATTATCACATGATTATCACCTAATACGACTGCACTTTGTTCGGCATCACAACCTTATCGATTATCACGTTGTTATCATGCCCAACAGATAACAAAGTGATTGTGCTGGAAAATTTGGTGGTTGTATCGATTAGGTTCACGATTAACACATTGTTATCATACCCAATGGATACAAAATGACTGTGATGGAAAATTTGGTAGTTGTATCGATTAGGTTCACGATGATCACACTGATATCATACCCAATACAAAATGATGGATGAAAAATTTGGTGGTTGAATCGATTAGGTTCACGATGATCACACTGTGCCATTTAAAATAACTGATTTCATTCTATTAAAGCAATCACGATTAACGATTTCATTTAAAAAAAAACTTGATTTAATTCTTAAAAGTAACATGATCGAAGATGATATGAGGATACGCCTAAAAAAATGAGGAGGGGATTTGATTCCCCAAACTCATCGGGGGCGTAGGATGGAGACGAGGATGAGGGGCCGGAATCTTTTAATTTTATTTCTTTTAATAACACAAATTATTTCGTGATTTTCGTATTAATAAAATTAAAATGAGTTTTGTTTTAAAAGTTATATAACGGAACTGGAAAAACAAGCACATAAACAACATTCGTTACGTTTGAAAGTTTGATCTTTTACTAAAGTGAAATTGTTTCAAACACCCATTTTATTTGATTTACACCTTTTTTCTTAAAAGAAAGCAAAAGTGTTACCAAATGAGGCAAAAAAATAATCGTTTGCATTTTGTGTATAAAGAAAATTATATATACGGCATGATACTTTAAAAGAATCCTAAAAGACATCTAAGTATAAAATTATCTTTAAGGTTTCACGTGATGTTAATTTTTTATATACTGTATGTGATGACATCACGAAATGTTCAGTGTCTCTTCCTCCAGCCAGTCTATGCAATATACTTAAAGCTGTTGATGAAAATTTACGAAACAGTATTTGAAAGTAATGTTTAAAATAGTTTAACTAATAATACATTGGGTTTACTCTTTACTGATCATTAGTTCGAATCTGTTCAGAGTAAGTGGAGGTTTGTGTATATGTTAATTTTAAGATTTTATTATAGCAATTAAGATAGACACAAACTGAACCGAATACCGATAGATTTCGAAAAAACATATGGTTATCCAAATTTGAAAAGAAAAGAACTTTATGAATGGTGGGTCGTATGAATTGGCATCCAAAGCACTTTTAGCCAACAACGGTTCTAGGGGTAATTATGTCATTTCGCATACGTTCTTTTCTTAGAAGAAGCTAGTGGCAGAATCGTAATAATGAGCAACATTCGCAGCTTACATGTATTCGCAGTTCAACCTCTCGCCTCTCCAATACACACGCGCACACAGATTTCACTTATAATTTCTGCTCTCTCTCTCTCTCTCTGAAGTCTCCGATCGATCTTCTCCGGCGAACAGCCTGTTTTCCGGTGATATTGTCAATTAATGTAATCGTTCAGTAATTACTGCTCGAATTTGTGTTTGTTCTTCCACTGATTAATTAATTATAACTCCAGTTAATTGAATATTTTGATTCGCTGAATTAGAACTGCATTAATGATGATAAAGTTGCAAAAAGGCAATTCAATATCTCATTTCACAATTCGCCTGCTCCGAATACTACTTTTTTCGATCGGAAACGTGATTTCTTCAGCTGTATTGTCGATGTATAATTATACATATATACTCATCACCATTGTTGTGTGTATTTAGAAAGAAGAATGACGTCAGGGACGAGGATGCCTACATGGAAGGAGAGAGAGAATAACAAGAGGAGAGAGAGGAGGAGGAGAGCCATCGCCGCGAAGATATTCACCGGTCTGAGGATGTACGGCAACTACAAGCTGCCTAAGCATTGTGATAACAACGAGGTCCTCAAAGCCCTCGCCGATGAGGCTGGCTGGACCGTCGAACCGGACGGCACCACCTATCGTAAGGTACTTTTTCACTTCTCTCTCCGTTTACTGTACATTTGTACTTGTAAGTCAAATGTTAGTCATTAGCTTACAAAACTTCAGTCAATGTCACATGATTTTGAAGGTTCTTTTGTCTCCGTACTTGCAAATTTCTCTGAAATTTCAAAAGAGGAGGTAATTGGTGAACTAAAAATCACAAAATCTTAATCTCTTGATAAACATATGTAGCAAGGGTCAAACGGACCCGGTTTTCACCGTGACTACGTGACGGTGGCGCGTTTTATCAGGTTGTCGTCGGTTTATATGTTAAAAGGCATGCAAGTGTCACCGGTACAATTACTTCGAAGTTGTTCGATAATTTGTTCAGTCGTCCCTCGATCTGCCGATTGATTGGTGGGGAATTTAGCAATATGCTAACGTGTACAGGCTCTGCTTTCCATGCTCATTTTAGCAGTTTTTGTTGAGATTTAGGGTTTTACTGGTCAGAGAGGTTAGCTCCTGCATTGCTTTATTTCTGATTCTGATCACTCTCCGGCGTACATTAGATCCGGTCGGGATTTGCTTAAGACTTCGTATATCGTTTGATCGTTTTCTTTGTTTTCTTTCGTGTGGAAGCTCACATCTCAAAGATTCCCCAATCCAGAGAGACGGTAATACCCTCGTAGATGAATCAGAATTTTATTCAAACGCTTCCAATTTAAACATCCATCAATATTCAACAAAAAGGGCATTTCGGTCATTAAATTTAGATCTCGTCTAAGTCTTTTTTTTGGGATAAACTTGAGCAACTTTTTTTTTCTTTCTGGGTAATGCTTTAGTTTTCCCCACAGGCCCTTTTTCCAGTAGGTGACAGTTTGTTACTCCCTGTGTCCCAAAACTGCAACAATGGATTCTATGTGCATAAATTATCATTTCTTTGCCAGAGCTGAAATTTACAATTTCAGAACACTGTCGTTACAATTATTTGTACATATTGCATTTGAACGTGTACACTGTTTTGAACATAAAAACATCATCCTTTTGAAAATATACCCCTATGTTTCAGTATTAATTAAAGTGTACTGTTCTTTATTCATAACTTTAAAAATATAACTATTTTGATATTATGTGTGTAAGAAAAAAATTGTCATAATATTATCACGTTATATTATGTTATAATAGGTGGATTTTATTCATATTTGATCAATTTAACCATTGAGCATCCTTGCTCCCTTCCATAAGAGGATATGTAAGTGAGATAGGAAATAATTACTAGAGGTAGAGTGAGGAAGGATATGAATAAGAATCCCTGATATGTCAATAATAAGTCTTTTGAATATCTTTTAAGTTAAAACAGAATATTAAAAATATAAAAATAAAAATTTAATGTTGATATATTTTAAAGAAAATTTGTAGAAGAGAGGGATCATTTAAACTCCCACATTTTATAAACATCTTCCGGAACTAAAATAAAAATTTTAGGTTTTTGAGAGGGTAAATTACATGAAAAAAGTAACGTACTTTCAAAAATTGATTCCTATTTTGGGTAACGTACTTTAAAAACTATTATTTTGGTGATGTAAAGTTTTAAACATTTAAGTATCTGGATAACTGGTTGAAGCATTAACCGGTTGCCATATTGATGTGCCGAGTGATGTGGTATCCGGTTAATGCTTCAACAAATAATATTGAGTTGGATACTACATCACTCTCCATATTAGCACGGTAACCTGTTAATTCTTCAACCGGTTATCCGGATAATTAAATGTTTAAAACTTTATATCTTAGGTACTAAAATGGAAATTTTGAAAGTACGTTACTCAAAAAGGTAATCAAGTTAAAGTAGATTATTTTTTCGTACCATTTGTATTTTTTAAAATATTCTAACACCCAATATTTTAAATAACAATATAATAAATGCACTAAAAGAACGATTACAAAAAGGATGAACGACATCAATAAAAAATAAGTAAATTACAATTAGTAGTTTTTTGAAATTAGTGTTTAAAAAATGGATAGTGGTTTTAATAGTTTTCACCCTCATGGCCCCACATATGAACTGTTGCATCTGCACAATGTGTACATGAGGACTGCTAATCCCACTGGGTTTCTTAGTTCACTTTTTTATTTATTTATGATACGGTCCATGCTCATATATGCACATGTCACACGAAATGAGCTCTGAACGTACCTAGTTACAAGGAAACTGCAATTGATAATCTTACTACGTTTATTATTTTTTGTAATATTTCATACAATAGAAATATTATGTGTATATGGGTGGTACTGTTCTTTTTCTCGTATGCTATTATTGTTTTGCAAGGACAAGTTTCATAATTTAGGGTGTGATTCATTAATGGTTGTATACGTACTTACTCTCCAATACCACAATCAATTGCCTTGCCATCTTCATATTTCCACTTCTAAAGGAGTCAAGTTCATATGGGAGAAATTTTAGTTCTTATTTCATCTCCTTGATCATCTTAAAGTCAATTGTATGTCATTTGGTGGTGTGTTTAATACACTAATTTAAATAATGAATGTATATAGATGAGCCATGATCAAACAAAAAGGCGGTCAATTTGTAAGGTGAGAAGTTCCAAGATCACATGCGATACAAACATGTTGTCTTGACCGGCCATAGAGTGGACGACCTTTCCCGCGACCCTTGGTTGTGTTGACCAAGTCGCCCGTGTCGTTTTGGATCGGTTCTCATGATTATGATACGGGCAGCAAAAGAATAAAATAAGAGCCTCGAAAATAAGGAAGTAGCCATAGAAATTTTGTATAATCAATATTTTACATTATATTATGTTAATTATTTTTGTATCGTCAGCATGAAATTTCTTCTAGATCTACCTCTATCTGTTATGCTCGAGTTTGGCTTGTTAGAGGGCTTTTTTGGGCCGTTAGAGAAAACACTAATGATTTACAAGCTGCAGTGAACATGGAAATTGGAAATTGGAAATATGAAAGGCCCATAGGAAATACTTAGCGAGTCTTGATGGTCTTCTCATATACACAATAATGTTGGGGTCATTAGTAATGCAAGCTCTGAATTTAACTAGGTGTTTAAGGTTAGTGGATCCGATTAATTATCATCTAGTTCTATATGTAGAAACTATTTGGCCAGAAAACTGATTACCAGCAACCCAACAAACCCCACATAGGGGGTCCGGGATCGAACACAACTATTAGATGCTTAACATACCTTATTTTTGCATGTAATCTTGTTTGTATATCTCCAGGGATGCAAGCCTGTGGAACGGATGGAAGTTGGTGGATCTGCATCAGCAAGCCCATGCTCATCATCTTACCACCCAAGTCCCTATGCTTCCTATCACCCCAGCCCTCCCTGCTCTTCCATCGCGAGCCCATCCTCCTCTTATGCACCCAACGCTCACCCCGATTCACTCATTCCATGGCTCAAGAATCTTTCCTCTTCATCCTCCTCATCAAACTCAGCCAAGCTTCCCCATCTTTACATCCACACTACTGGCTCCATTAGTGCACCCGTGACTCCACCCATGAGTTCTCCAACTGCTCGATCCCCTCCACGACTCAAAACCGATACCACCTGGGGTGCAGGTGCACATGCACGTGCACCTCGTCACTTCTCCTATCTTCCCTCTTCGACTCCACCAAGTCCTGGTTGCCACACCCTCCCTAATTCCGAATGGTTCTCTGGCATTCGGCCCACGTCCCCAACTTTCAGCCTCGTGGCATCAAACCCGTTTGGATTCTTCAAGGAAGCGGCTATATCGCATGGTGGATCACGAATGTGGACTCCTGGACAAAGTGGGACTTGCTCTCCTGCAATTCCTCCAGGATTTGACAACACTGCCGACATTCCAATGGCGGAATTAGTTTCCGATGAATTTGCGTTCGGTAGCAATGCAGGAGGGAGGGTGAAGCCATGGGAAGGAGAGAGGATCCACGAGGTGTGTGTGTCTGATGATCTTGAGCTTACACTTGGGAGTTCAAAAACAAGGTATGTTCACACCAATTCTTTCAAGTTTCATTGTACGGAAGGGGGATCCAAAAATAATTAACATAATATAAAATAAAACAAAAAGATATTATAAAACACACGGGTTTCATTGAAGTATGATATACAAGTGGTTTTATACAACACCCAAGTCGTTTTTGTTGTTTTTTTTTTCCCAATCTGCCATTATTACCGAAAAACTAAAAAAATCCAGAGATTCAAGCTTGCAACCGTCGTTGCAACTACTTTTTGTTAATTTATAGGACGAATCGCCCCTGATTGTACAAACATTATTTTACACCACAAGCCTTTATGAACACATAGACATCCATCTAAATTTGATCTTGTTACACAGGTAAAATGCAAATTGGAGAAGAAATAGCATAGCCCAATGGTGCTTGGGAAAAAGTTGCAATAGATGGATGGATCAATGCAAGTTTAAGAAATTGTCCCCCCTATTTTAAGTTATAAATGGTAAAGTATGTTGCCCAAATCTTTACTGTAATGTAATCCATGCAGCTTAAGTAGTTTCTACTTGTGACTTTGAGAGACTATATATATATATATATATGTAGGCCAAAGGTCTCAAAAAAGAAGCATTCACCTAAGGATGGATAGAACACAACTCTTTCCTCAAATATATACAACTGTGATAATATCTGAAACTCTTTCGAATCACACTCCAAAAGAGCAGTTGAGGATAAATGGTTCAAGTTTAGATTGCTAAATACCGTCCGAGTCTCAAGAGTGGTTGACATTGACTCTAATGCCATATGAGACGATGTTGTATCAAAGTTCTCCAAATTTTGGGTGTCGTTATGTGCATAAACTAAAGTATGGTTTAGACTGTAAATTTAGAAGATGGTTTCTAAGCTTCACAAATCTATCAATGCCCTAAATCAATTTTCAAGATAATGATATCCTCTTTTATCATTGATGTTGGATGCGCGTTCACTAAATGTTTGCCAACAGAAGCCAACACCCTCATTTATTTTATCAAATTTCGGTCATCAAAATGGATTGTTTGTTAGCATCTTTTACCCGGTCATTGCTGTGGCTCTTAGAAGACTCGAGATAGTAAGATGAGTGACATTTGAAAAGTGTTTACGCATTAGGATAATAGGTCCTTAGTCTAAACGGATTATTCATTCTTTATAAAGGTGTTTGAAGGATTATGTGGTTTTAGTGGTATTTGTTGATAATGTCATCATTATATACTGTTGGTCTACTTCATTGCTCACATTGGGGTTTGGAGACCAAATAGTGGCATGTTCATCAAGACCTTGATAAAAGCTTTAAGAGATGGGTCCTAAAATATGAATAAACTCAAAATTGGTTTTATTTTGATAGAAACTTATAAATTTGTTATTTTAAGGGTTCGTTTATCAAACACTTATCCGATAAGTGTTTATCGGTAAAATTTAACACTATTATGTACTTACCAAGTAAGATTTTAGTCCACCAAAACGACATAGTATACAATAATTTACCCGATAAGCACTTACTGCGGTAAAAGTCATCGTCTTCACTTACCAGAAAAGACTCTTGATCATTGTCTCACTTTTACCGGGTAAGATTCTTGGTTCTTACTATATTCATCCGATGAAGTAACGTTACTTGGTATGCACGCTTACTCAGGTAAACGTTTGATAAACGGTCCCTTAATCTTCTATTTGTGGTGACACGCTCTTTGTAGTTTTCTCATTAATTAATTCCAACCACATTTGCTTTTGCTTTATTAACACGTCATCAATATTATTCTAAGCGAAGTAACTTATCAAGATTCTACTTTATAGAATTTGGTTTCAGCTTCTTGATAGCAACTTTTCATCTATATATAGTTTTCGAATCAGATCAGTAAGTACATGGACTAAATCTGTAAATTAGATAAAGATACCATCAATGAAAGTGTTGGGGACTAATTTACGTATTTGGTCCTTATACTTGGAACTTGGTTTAAAAAATTCTTATTTCAGTTCGACTCTTCTCCAAGTTGAAGAATTGCTATTTACGTATTTAGTAACCTTTTAAAATATTGATAAAAAATGGTTAAAGAATGAATTCAAAACCTAAAAATAAATATTTTAATTAATTTCTCTATAACATATGACATTAAACATAATATCAATTTGTTTATCTCAATAAATATTAAATGTATCTTTTAATTTGAACACTAATAAAATAATATTTGTCTATTACATTATAATTATTTTAATATTTGAATTCAAATGTCCACGTCAAAACGAGATTTTACACTTGAGTTGTATTATAAAAAGGAAATTGATTCAAATAACTATATTTCACAACCAAATCAATCTATTAATCATTTTTCTTCATGTTTTATTCAAAAGTCATTAAGTTTGCAATAATTGTAGACCCACTAAATGACAAAAAATTAAAATTTTTAGGCCAGATCCGTAACTACTGGTCCACAACTATTACGGATCCGGCCCAAAATCCAGTTTCCTATGATTTATGAAGGTAGACATTTATGGGCCGTTTGACAGTTGTTGAATGGTTTGATACAGAATGATTAAATGGTCAGAATGATTAAGAGGCTCTCATGATATAGTGTAAAATAAAATATAATTGTGTGGTAATTGTTTAGAAAGAAATTACGGCGCTGAATGGTTGAGGGAGCTCCAGGATACAAAATCATTCAGAGAGTTTTAGAACCATTAAGAGACAAATTTTTTTTTGCTAAACAAGATTCACCTCTTAACAATTCAGAGATTGCATCTTAATTGAATTATTAAGAAGTGAACAAACAACCCCTTACAAATCTGGCATTACAGATTCAAGAAAAATGGATCTTGGGCCGGATCCGTAATAACAATTGACCTGAGCAAAAACTCTATGATTTTGTCGTTTACTGGGTCTGTAATAATTGTTGATCTAAATATTACGGAATTGATAACTTTTAAATAAGGTTAAAAAAAATATATTAAGAGATCAATTTGGTCGTAGAATATGATAATTTGGGTCCATTTCCCTATTATAAATTCAATGTCGTGTTGTCCAAGCAAAAATAACGTACAATAAAAATAAAAGAAGCAGCCTACAGATAGAATAGTATAGGTACAGGCAACCCAGTTCTGATGATCTTCACATGGATGCTATGATTGGTTGTTCACTGCCATTTACTATGCAATCAATTGAATAATAAACCATACACCATACTTATTACTTAAAACCAAAGCAAACCAAATAATAAATGTTTGTAATAAAAATGGTATATAGTTTCATAACAATTACATTTTTTAACCATAAATGTGGTGTTTGATTGGTTTGAGCTTGTCTTTCAAAAGTCAAAAGTACCAGGAGATCTCAGGTTCAAATTCAATGAGGAATAAAAATCCCATGGAGGTTCAAATGCGGTGACTCCGGGCTATCTGCAAAGTAGGTGGTCGCCTTGAGATAAGTCGGCTCGTATAACGGATTGGACATCCAGGTTAATAAAAAAAAACAATTACATTTTTTATTAGATTGAATGACAACTTTACCTTAAAACATCTCTATAAGATTATCTAAAACGAAGATTTTAAGAATTTTTACTTCAATAGATTTTTTAAAATGAAGATTTTTAAATTTTTTAATCTAATAGATTTCCAAAACCTTCTTTAAAATGGAGAAAGCAAGAGAAATGGTGAAATGCTTTAAATTTGGAGAATTCTCAAAAAAATATTTTTTGTTCTTTTTATTCATGAGAATCCTTGAAATTAAATATAGAGACAAATAATATTTTATGAAATGTATTAAATATCTTAATAATATAATCCATGTTGTGATCTCCAAAAATAGAGAACTTGTTGATATAATTTTCTTTGGAGATTTTGACTTAGGGATCGTTTACTAAATGCTTACCCGGTAAGTACTTACTGGACAATTTTTCTTACCGAATGAACATGGCAAGGGGCACAAAAATCTTACCCGATAAGAGTAATGATAAGAATAGAGAGTCTTACCCGGTAAGTGAGGGTGATGACTCTTACCCGAGTAAGCGCTTACCAGGTAAATTGTTGCATAAGATATATTTTGATGTACTACAATCTTACCCGATAAAATAAATTATAATGTTAACTCTACCAGAGATGTTCTGAGAGTTAAGTCATAAGTGTAGAATGTACTGAAACATGTACAAGTAATCGTTTAATGTATACTTCTTTTACAATTTTCATTGCATATATAATCAAAAGTTTATTACAATATTTACAAATACAAAATGAGACTTTAAATGTTACTATAAATCAACAAAGATATCATTTGTGGGACGAATGGAAGCAAAATTTTGCAATAAACGACTGCAACTACATAACTTAAAAGCACAACGATTTCTACATATATAAATAAAGAAATAAACCTTACTTACGGATTCATATATCAACGTCATAAAGATCCGGAAGAAGCTTATTCGCCGAAGAAGAACTTTCCGCRGTCTCATCCTTATAGAGTGACGTATCTGCCCAGGGACCATCGTTCGATAAGCTCCTCGGTCCTAGACTGTCTGCCGAGATGGTGGAGACTTGTGTCTGACTGTCTTGTGAGACCATGTCAAACGCTTTGAACCTCATGTCCGGGCTTCCTGCCACTCGTTTGACCATGGGTGGCTGAACGGGGATTTTACCATCGAGCATTTTGACAACGGATGACATGGGTGGCCTAAGGGTGGGAGATGGATTGGTGCATAGAAGAGCCAAATTCAGCATCCTCATGGCCTCATCTTTTGGGTATTTAGGACCAAGACCAGGGTCCACTAGTTCCAAAAGACTCCCTTGCTCTTCYAGGACATATGYCTTCAAAAACCAAAATGGAAGTCATCAGTTATGCCTTATTTTTTGTAGCAAATGTATAGGTGGTTTTTGATACATGGGCTTAAGCAAAAGCCACTCCCAAAAGCTAGCTCCAAGGAGGAGGGCTTCCAAACATATTCGGTATATATCAGTTATGCTGTGTTTTTAAACCTTTTCTACTAAGGAAACGAAAGGAAAGGAAAAATAGCGAAAGGGGAGGAAAGTAAAAAAAAAAAAAAATAACTGAGACCGACAATCTTACGTACTAAGAGCGAAAGCAAAGATCGGGAATCTTACCCTATAAGTAAGAGTGACAACTCTTGTTAGTAAACACCTACCCGGTATACGTTTGGTAAACGACCCCTTAGGGTGGTCGTGCCCCTATATAAGAACAAAGGCAACGCACAGAGCTATGGGCATCCAAAACAAAGAAATGCAACAGGAAATGAAATGTTACGCTTCAATAGAATGAATTCGGTTTATCGGAGGATAAAGCTACAAGCTATATAATGAAAATTATGGGAGCATGTGATGGAGGCCAGGCTGAGGCGAGAGACGAGGTAACGGATAACCAATTTGGCTTCATACAGGGAGGTCGACAATTGAGACAATTCACATCCACAGATGCCTAATGGAGAAGTATAGAGAACGTAGCGAGGACCTATATATGGTGTTTATAGACTTGGACAAGGCCTATGATAGCGTGCCACAAGTTTGGAGATGAGGAAAACACATGGGATGAAGTTGTCTGATAGGAGCTCTTAGAAGCGGAGGACTAGGACAGTTGTTTTGGGGTGGGGTTGGGGGGGGGGGGTTACCTAAGATGGAAGGGAGTATAAAAAAAATTGAAGGGTAGGGAAAGGGGGATGGGTGGCTGGTGGCACTTAGGGTGCCAAAGTCCTACATTAACTAGAAAAGGGTGGTGTTATTTTTTCCTACATTTTATATCTTATTCTAATCCCTACCCCTCCCCAAACTGCATTCCTATAAGCAGTCAACTACCCTATTCTAATCCGTTGGTTAAGTCCCCTCCAGGCGAGATTCTCATCCCCTTGGTTAACTCACCTGTAGGTGAGAGAGAATATCTCGGATCTTTAGAAAAGATAGAACAGTTTGAATGATTGAACTTACCCAGTCAAGAAGATATACGAACTCCTCCTTTGGCCTGTAATTTGTATTGCTTTTCCCGCTGACAATCTCTAATGCAACAACTCCGAAGCTGTAAACATCTGCTTTATCTGTCAAGTATCCTCTCATTGCATATTCCGGAGCCATATATCCTCTACAAATTCACACCATAAACGTCTCAGATTTGAAAGAATCTAGCTATGTTAAAGTCAAAGGTACATACACAGTACAAAAATATGAGAGGACCCTATAAGATCCAAAGAATGAGAGCTCACATCGTTCCAGCAATCCGTGTGCTGATATGAGTATTCTCTTCTTCATCCAGTTTTGCTAGACCAAAGTCAGATATCTTAGCATTAAGATCCTTGTCGAGAAGCACATTGGTGGCCTTTATGTCTCTATGAACTATTTTCAACCTTGATTCCTCGTGGAGATAGGCTAAGCCCCGTGCTATTCCCATRCATATCTTCTTTCTTGTAGGCMAGTCCAAATTAAGCTTCTGGTCCTCACGACCTATATAGAATGACAGATTGTAAATTTTACTTTGAATAGATATAGAACAGCTAAATAGTGGGATGGTGAAGTATTTACCAAAAAGAGCACGTGCGAGACTGTTATTTTCAAGGTATTCATATACCAGCAACAATTCCTTTCCTTCGATGCAACAGCCATAAAGCTTAACAAGGTTTGGATGCTGCAAAGCTGATATCATGCCTATCTCAGTGACAAATTCACGGTTCCCCTGTTTTGATCTTGCGGAGAGTTGCTTAACAGCAATCTCGGAACCATCCGAGAGTACACCCTGCAAATTAAACAGGAAAACATTCGTAAATCACCTCAAAAATAAAAGAGAAACATAAAATCATGTTGAGAGGGATAAGGTTTACTAGATACCTTATAAACTGGTCCGAAGCCTCCTTCACCGATCTTATTTGCAGAATCAAAGTTATGAGTAGCGGATTTGATTTGTCGCAGGCTWAAATAACCMGTCTGTAATTCAAGTGCTCGAAGCTCTGTGACAAAGGTACTGATTAGAAACAGCTAGAATTGGAAACATTTCAAGAGCCAACTAATACTCAATCTCCTATAGATTATTCTTACCTTTATCTTCTTTGTCTCCTAGATAACCTTTCTTCCAAAGAACAAATAAAATTAGCGCGATAGCTGCGCAGCAACCAATCACAATTCCAGCTATAGCTCCAGCAGCGAGTCCTCCTGTACTGACGTCAAAGTCTGCAAGAAGGGGGGATAACTAGGTTATACATGCTCTTAAAGTGAGAACAATGAAAAAGGAACAGATGATAGAAAGAATGTACTAACTTGGTGTTATTGTGATACCGGATATAAGAGGTCCATATACACCCCGATCTGGAATTGCAGTAGTCCCTTTCCCTGCCCAGTACAAGTGAATCTCTAGGGTGCTACCATTAACCATAACATYAYTGACGTYTATGGAGATGCCCCTGCCAACACCATTAGCTTCTTCCATGATGTTGAAGTCCTTTCTCCTCAGAACCCCCTACATGAAAAACCAAATTAAGTTTGTAACTAATTATTCTCCAATTGAGATTTATACAATCTAAACAAAAACTGGCATGTCACTTACTTGGACAGATATATCAAAATAGCGTCTTCCCAGACTGCTAAATGTCATGTCATCAGAATAACTAATTTCAGCAAAGTGGAGCCTCACTTTATAACTTCCCTGCCGCAAACACAGTCCATAGTACCGGAGTGAAGTGGGAGAAAAGCGAGCTGTTTTATATACATCTCCACCTGTCACATTTTCTGATCTTGAAACAAATGGAGCATCATTGTTGCCCAAGAAAACCCCATTCGTGCTATAAGCCCATCTCTCGGGACTAGAATAGAAGAAAGATTGCTGGTTGGTCAAATCTTCTTCATACTCATTTCCTTCAAAGTCTGATCTGGGTCCACCGCAATTAATAAACAAAGAATGACCTGCATTGTAAGATTTATTTGTGAAGATCTACAAATGGATATAACAATTAACCTAGAGGGAGTGGTTAGTYGTTATTCTTACGGTTGGGGTTTCTGCTGCACAAAAGTTCGTCTTTCAAACACCAAGCATCTCTATAAAATTAATTCACGTTAGGTCACATCACTGTGAACAATTCAAAAGAGTGTGTGTGTGTGTGTGTATAGGTTGGTGATAGAACATACCCGTTGCTTGCGGCAGAAGATGACATGGCTGAAACTAAATTCCTGTGGTAAAGGTACTAGTTAAGCGAACATAAAAAAATATACCTTGAATATAATAAAGGTAGGATTGCAAACAACTTACAAGTTAGATGACTGACAGTTCTGTTTTGAAAATATACGTGTAAAATTGTTGTAAGACAAGTCACTGCAATAAAAATAGTGGCAATTTTTTTAGCTCCAACTCCACAATATATACATATTAAAAAGCAACTCTTACGATGGCCTAAATCCTAATGTAAGACACCACAGTGATAAAATCATCTCTATGATCATAGATCACCATTCCTGTAAACATGTAGCATAAAAATAATAATCAAGGGGAATCACTTACATCTTTACATTGGTAATTTTCAGAAATATCCATTGAGGAATCTCTCCGGATAGTGAGTTGTTATTCAGAAACCTACATTATAACACTCTATCTCAAATTTTACCAAGAAATACAGATATCCGAGGTATGTATGATAGATGTAACATCTTTCTAAGTAGTTGCATACATGGTGTCAAAGTTTAATGTCTGCAATGTACTGGGTATTGGACCGTTCAGCCTGTTGAAGCTCAGGTCTCTGCAAAAGAAATGGTTCAGTTGAAGATGTCCTTAAGCGTAAATAAATTAAAAGCGAGGATCATGCAAAATCAACAAAGATATAATATCATGTCAAAAAAATAAGATAAAAATTAGAGATTTGAAGTTGTTATAAACAAATTAACAAGAAACAGGGAAAAGCTCAGAAGATCAGTAAACTCCACCAAATGGAAGATATCATTGGAAACCTATAAACAGGGACAAAGGAACGTTTGCTATAAGAGACATGTTAAGAACACTTTAAAAGCAATGGATGACGACAAAATCAATAATTTGTGTCAAGTAAGGGGGAAAACCTTTGCCAGACATAGTACTAATACTATTGACTGTTTTGTATATGTTTAGTACTTCATTATTTCGTTTGACTATATACTGCTAAGTGCTAAATGTTATGAACCATTTAAGGTATGTTCTGATGGAAACGTATATCATGACCCTCATGTGGAAGAAGCTAAAGATTAAATCAGTTTATGTCAACAATAAGTTCACAAAGAGAAGGCCATTAGTTTGTAGATTCTTTTGCCACCATGCACTGGTCCTGAAAACTTGCTTGATCTTTCATCATCAAAGCACGAAATTATTCATGTAAATTCCAAATTTAGAGATAAAACTGTATATTTATCCATTTGAATTCCATACTTAGAGATGAACTATAGACAGAAGCACAAACTCAAAAGACCAATGATCTTTGTCTTAACATAAATAGAAACAATGGACTTACAAGTTCTTCATGTCACTCATCTGTCCTATGTAGTCTGGTATTGGGCCAGTAAGCAAACAATTTCTCAGGGACCTGCAGCAAAATTATTTAGAAGACTTATCATGTCAACTTTCTGTACAAATTTA